GGACTGAATGTTCGCCAATTTAAAAACTGGTCACCACAAAAGACGTATTTTACAAAAAATGTAATCTCCTCCGGTCTCTCTATTCACGTGCTGTGAAGAAGGGCCATTGCCTGAAACGTCGCCTATTATATACTTTATATTGGGCTTTATTAGTGTGAATTTCTCACATTCTACGCGCGTACAATATCTATGTGTGTGTGTGTCCATGTACAATGGGCACACGTTATGCAATTGCACGTGAGATTGTGTACCTCCGTCGCCGTGGCAACGGGCCTACGGCGGTTCCCTTGGAGACGCGGGCTGTGCGCGATGACGTCACAGCTAACAGGTCCAACCCGCGCGCGTACCCGCCCGCCGCGCGGTGACGTCAACGCGTCGAGCGACGTCGTGACGTCAACGCGTCACTTATTGGCTGGAAATTTCCGCCAAAAAAAAACCTGGTTTCTCGCTAAAAACAAATCCACCACCACCACTATCGTCGCCGTCGGCCTGTTTGTCAATCTACTGCTGGATGAGGGCCTCGCCACGCCGTGTCCCGCCATGTGATGGTGCAGCACAACAATGTGTTATGCTTCACCGCACTCTGCTACCCCCAGCGTAGCCCCAAAGGAGCCTATAGCACCTGTTATGCACGGCGTGGTCTCTCCCCGCCCCGCCATCCCAGCAGCTGTCCAGACGCAAACCCCTCTGGCTGAGCTTAAGAGACCTGGGGGGGGGGGGGGGGGAAGAGCTTCATAGCTTATCGGATTTCCCCTAGGATAGATATATAGCATTCTGTTTTTGTCGCATCGTTTGCACACACCTCACAACAATTCATCGATTTTCCTATAACTACAAATCGTGATGAATCGAGGCGCGTCTCGTGAATGAGATGGTGGGGGGGGGGGGGGGGGTTTGATGGTGGGGGGGATGGTGGTGGGGGGTTTGATGGTGGGCGGGGTGGGGGGTTTGATGGTGGGCGGGGTGGGGGGTGAGCCCGCGTGGCGGTCACGTGAGGGTCGCGGGGCCCTCGCGTCTCGCGATGTCCCCGCACACGGTCCGTGTCCTCATCAAGGTCGACGACATCCGAGGCAGCGCCGCACTCCTCCGCTGCTGCGTATTTTGCTGTTGTTGTTTTGTTGTTGTTGTTTGTTCTTTCTCCAATGGTGTCACTGTGATGGTTTGGGTGGGATATAAAGAAATGCAAAGACGGTGACGATTTTTTATTTATTTAAAGCCAGTTATATTCTTGGTTCTTTCGGTAAAGTCACGTAGAAGGGAAACAATAAAATACAAAACTATATAAAACAATAAAATTCTCACGACGTTTCGACTGCAACACAAGCAATCATCATCAGGTGTGAAAAAGACAGCAAGAAATTTTGAAAAAAGTGGCTGTTTTTTTAACGTTAGCACCACGGAGAGCGATTTAGCAGTGATTCAGATGGACGAGTCCATCTATGTTCGGAAAAGAGGAGGGGGGAGACGAAAATAATGGATGCGGTCTGAAAGCCACCGTAAGCGTGATCAATCAATTAAGACCCGAAATGGTTTATCAAATCCTTCCAATGATTGCTAAGCCAGAATCCATCTTCTCGGTTGAAATTGTCTCTGTGTTTGTATATGTGGATAGCCTCATGAACGAATCTCTCATGGTAGCCAGGTGGCTTGCAAAGAACCTCTGTCTTGGAGAAGGCAATGTCATGTGAGCCTACTGAATTATAACAGTGATCTGCCACGGCCGAGGTGTTGGTCCTACCGTGTTTAAGGTCTGCTTTGTGTTCACGAATGCGGTCCGAGACATGTCGTTTGGTTTCTTCAATGTAACTACTACCACAGAGGCAACTTAGTTTGTAGACGCCAGGGTACTATATGTCCGGAATCACATATTTTACAGACGGAACCAGATCACGGATTTTATGTAATGTGTTGAATCAGACCTGGATCTTGTGTTTATTCAAGATTTTGGAGATCTTTTTTGTGATCCCCGCAATGTAGGGTAAAGTGATGGTTTTGAAAGGCTCCTCAAGAGGGTCCTTCTTCATGGTTGGAGTGATAGCTTTGCGGATTGTGTAGTTGGAGTAACCATTAGCCTTAAGAGCTTGGTGTACGTGCTTGAGTTCACTGGCTATGTGTTCCTGGTCGGAAATGCATTGGGCTCTATGGTATAGAGTCTTGATGAGGGAATTCTTCTGGGATGGATGGTGGTGGGAATCCGGTTTCAGGTAAGCATCCGTATGGGTAGCTTTCCTGTAGACAGAGTGGCTCATTGAACCATCAGGTCTATTTTTTATTAGGACATCCAAAAAAGGTAGCTTGCCATCTTTTTCGACTTCCATGGTAAATCTGATGGCTGGGTGTATGGAATTGATGCGGTCGAGGAATTGGTCTAGAGCAGGCCGGCCATGTGGCCAGATGACAAAAGTGTCATCCACGTACCTCTTCCATAAGTTTGGGGGCAGAGTGGCAGTCTGGATGGCGTCAGTCTCAAATTTCTCCATGAAAATGTTGGCTACAACCGGAGATAGGGGGGAGCCCATTGGGGTGCCCTCTGTTTGTAGAAAGTTCCATTCCAAGTGAAGTATGTATTGGTTAAGCAGTATCTCACCAGGGGGGGTACCTCAGTGTTTAGTCCTTGATTAACCAAGTCTTCAATGATTGCGATGGTGTCAGGTACAGGAACTTTGGTGAATAAAGAAACTACATCAAAACTGACAAGCAGGTCGTCTGGGGACAGGGAAATACCCGTGATTGTCGATATCAGGTGAGTAGAATTTTGTACCACAGAGGTGGTTTTTCCAGTGAAAGGCCGCAGGATTTCAGACAGAAAACGAGCCAGTTTGTAGGTGGGGGAGTTGATAGTAGAAACGATGGGACGAAGAGGTGTATATACTTTATGTATTTTTGGTAAGCCGTATAATCTTGGTGGACTGGCAGCAGAAGGTTTCAACGAGAACTGTTTGGTTTGATCAATTAATGCAGTTGAATCAGAAATGATTTTGTTGGTTTGTATGACGAGGCTGTTGGTGGGATCTCTTTTTATTTTTGTATAGCTGCCATCGTCGAGTAATTCTTTAATTTTGTTGTTATATTCTATTTTTAAAAATGATTTTATTGTTTCCCTTCTACGTGACTTTACCGAAAGAACCAAGAATATGAATCCCTGCAATCACGAAAGCTTTAAATCAAAAATTAAAGGCAGTTGTTTAAATAAATATTGGCAGTTTTTATCATTTGGGATTTCAAACGTTTCTGCGCTTTCCCAGCAAACAGAAACGTTCGCCCAACGTTCGGCATGTGATTGGAACCGTTGGACCAACGTTCGCCCAACGTTGGTATGTGATTGGAACCGTTGGACCAACGTTCGCCCAACGTTGGTATGTGGTTGGAACCGTTGGCCCAACGTTCACCCAACGTTCGTCCAACTTTAGCATGTGGTTGGAACCGTTGGACCAACGTTTGCCCAACGTTAGTATGTGGTTGGATCCGTTGGAATAACGTTGGCATGTGGTTGGAACCGTTGGACCAACGTTCGCCCAACGTTGGCATGTGGTTGGAAGCGTTGGCCCAACGTTGGCCCAACGTTCCGTCTTTGCTGGGTTTTGGTGGCTCTGAATCTCACCTAGAGACAGAGTGATGGACGCTGTAGATCAGACAGCGCAACGGCGGCTAGGAGATGTTAACTACCTCGCCTAGTATACAGGAGATGTTAACTACCTCGCCTGGTATACAGGAGATGTTAACTACCTCGCCTAGTGTACAGGAGGTCGTGGGATCGATCCCGACGCTGACGCCTGCTGCTGTATATTTGGAGTTTGCGTGTCTCTCTCTCATCATCATCACGGTGGCTAGGAGATGTTAACTACCTCGCCTGGTGTACAGGAGGTCGTGGGTTCGATCCTGACCCTGACGCCTGCTATAGATTTGGAGTTTGCGTGTCTCTCTTTCACCTTGGTCGCGTGGATTTTCCTCCGATCCCTCCAAATTTAAAATCAACATCTAGTGTTTGGAGTATTTGGCTGCTATACATTTCCAAATGATAAGCCACTTCGTTGAGCTATTATTTCTGACAGCCAGGCCGCTTCTGAGAAATAGCTACATAGATCAGTGGCCCTTTACCTGTTAACATAAAATATATAAATAGTTTAGACAGCGAATTCGAGATTGACGCGGCATCGAAGTCGAATTCTCAAGCGGTCACAGCCGTGTGCTGGCACAGCACTCGCAGGGACGATGCTGCCCGTGGGCCGAGACTCAAGACGGGAGAAACGTGCCCGGGTGGCCGAGCACTGCGGAGACGGAGCGATGGAATCGTCGCGTCGTGTGCTGTCATTGTTCGCTTGCGTCACGGGACCGTGAGGGATTGTCGACGGCTTTAGGAGGCCTTCATCCAACAGTGGGTAGAACATGTCTTGCGATGATGACGACGATCATGCGTTGCTTCACCCCCCCCACCTCCCTCCTCTCTCTTCATGGTCACCTGGCCGTTGCCACGGTTACGAGCGCCAGGTGAGAGTGGGCGAGTGAATGGAAAGGGCGTGGCATCGGGCTGAGTGAGAGGGGTAGAGGGACAAGGGGATCAGAGAGAGAGAGAGGGGGAGGGAGGAGGGGGGTGAGAGAGGAGGATGAAATAGAGGAGTGAGTGAGAGGGGAAGGGGGTATATTATGAGCCAGGCACCCGTCATGGCAATGTGGAATTGTCTCCAACAATGACTCCGGGCCCGGGTTAAGGAAACGGGCGCTCCGAGGCGTGCAAAGATGCTTTGCTGATGCTGCTGATGACGATGATGATGATGGTGATAACAATTCTGCCCCTGCTGATAACAATGCTAATATTACTCCTACTGATGTTCAAGATGATACTGCAGCTGCCGATGCTGATCATATTACTGCTGCTCCTGTTGATGATGTTGAAGATGCTGATGTTGATGACGTTGATGGTTTTGATGATGTTGATGCTGATGTTGATGATGTTGATGATGACGATGATGTCGATGATGTTGATGATGTCCCGTGCGCAGTTAAGATCATCCTCTTCTACATCGTCTTCTATGGCTTCTTGGCTGCCATCTTCATCGGGACGATACAAGTGCTACTGCTCACCATCAACAAGTACACGCCTCAGTACCAGGACCGCATCCTCCCCCCGGGTGAGCGCCTCACCCACTCACCTGCCACGTCACCCACTCACCTGCCACGTCACCCACTCACCTGCCACGTCACCCACTCATCTGCCACGTCACCCACTCACCCTCCACATCACCCACTCACCTGCCACGTCACCCACTCACCTGCCACGTCACCCACTCACCTGCCATGTCACCCACTCACCCTCCACGTCACCCACTCACCTGCTACGTCACCCACTCACCATCCACGTCACCCACTCACCTGCTACGTCACCCACTCACCATCCACGTCACCCACTCAGTCACCTGATCACTCAATCACTCACTCACCCGCCATGTCACCCACTCACCTGCCACGTCACCCACTCACCTGCCACGTCACCCACTCACTCACCTGATCACTCAATCACTCACTCGCCTGCTCGGTCATCTGGTCACCCATTCACACATTCTCTCGAAACTAAACTATTTTAAATGTTACCCGGTAAGACCCACTGAGCTACGTACGTAGCTCTTTTTCAGAAGCGACCTGGCAACACATGTTATGCCAACGAAGTGGCTTATCGCGTGGAAATGTATAGCAGCGTGATGTTGATTACAAACGTAGAGGGAAAACCCCGGAGAGCCAGCAGACAAATCCACGTGACCACGGTGAGAGAGAGAGAGAACACGCAAACTCCAAGTGTACAGCAGCCGTCGTGGTCGGTATCGAACCCACGACCTCCTGTACACCGGGCGAGGTAGTTAACATCTCCTAGCCACTCACCTGCCCCCCTTCTTCCCTCCTTACCACCCCTCTCCCTGCCCCACTCCCCACCCCAGGTCTGTCTGTGCGCCCGCAGCCTTTCCGCGCCGAGATCTACTACTCTCTGTCCGAGCGCCACTCCATCGAGCTGCACAACAAGAGCATCAGCTCGCTTCTCGACTCCTACAGCAACGAGAAACAGGCGCAGCTCATCAAGTGCGGCGGTGAGCGACAGCGAGGCCATCCTCCTCCTCCTCCTTCCCCCGCCGCCACCGCCGCCGCCACCAGATTCCAAACTCGCGGCGAACCTCTGGCGACAGGCGGCGAATGCGCAAATGCCGAAGTCGCGCAGCGGCCGCAGCCACTCGCTGAGACGTTGGGCAAAGCAGTTGGCGTTGCCCGCGGTCCAGTTGGCTGCAGGCGATTTCGAGGGTCCGATTTTTGTTGTGGGGGAGGCTGGAGCGGGGGTGGTGGTGGATGGGGTTTGAGTGAACTCCATTTGCCGCAGATGTGGAACCCGGATAAATGTCGTAACGTGGGCACCTTACACCGCCCCCCCCCCCCCCCCCCCCCCGCAGAGGAACCCGGCCCCGCACGCCTCTCGGGCCCAGACCCCCATTCCGCGGAGAGCGCCTGCCGCTTCCAGCGCGAGTGGCTGGGCGACTGCTCGGGGCTCACGGACTCCGACTTCGGCTACTCGAGCGGGAACCCGTGCGTCATCATCAAACTCAACCGCGTCATCGGCTTCCTGCCAGAGGTCACACGCGCTCGCATTCACGACAGCGCATGGTGACACACACACACAGTGGTAACACACACAGTGTTAACACACACACATTGGTAACACACACACAGTGGTAACACACACACAGTGGTAACACACACACATTGGTAACACACACACAGTGGTAACACACACACACAGTGGTGACACACACAGTGGTGACACGCACAGTGGTGACACACACAGTGGTAACGCACAGTGGTGACACACACAGTGGTAACACACTCACAGTGTTAACACACACACAGTGGTAACACACACACAGTGGTAACACACACACAGTGGTAACACACACACAGTGGTGACACGCACAGTGGTGACACACACAGTTGTAACACACACACAGTGGTGACACACACAGTGGTGACACGCACAGTGGTGACACACACAGTGGTAACACACAGTGGTAACACACACAGTGTTAACACACACACATTGGTAACACACACACAGTGGTAACACACACACAGTGGTAACACACACACAGTGGTGACACACACAGTGGTGACACACACAGTGGTGACACACAGTGGTAACACACAGTGGTAACACACACACAGTGTTAACACACACAGTGTTAACACACAGTGGTAACACACACAGTGGTAACACACACACAGTGTTAACACACACAGTGTTAACACACAGTGGTAACACACACAGTGTTAACACACACAGTGTTAACACACAGTGGTAACACACACACAGTGGTAACACACACACAGTGGTAACACACACAGTGGTAACACACACAGTGTTAACACACAGTGGTAACACACACACAGTGGTGACACACACACAGTGGCAACACACAGTGGTAACACACACACAGTGGTAACACACACACACACACAGTGTTAACACACAGTGGTAACACACACACAGTGGTGACACGCACAGTCGTCGCTCACGCCGTATTACCCAGCCTCGCCAGGAGAAGACGGTACAGCAAATCGTGCGGACTCCACCTATTCCATCTGTACGGGATCGAGTGTTTCCCCCTCGCTCTCACGCGTGCGTTTTCTTTCTCCGGGTGCTCCGGTTTCCTCCCGCGTGTAAACACTCGTGCATTGGCAGACAACACCTTCACACATAGAGGATCGCAGAGCTTGGGCAATTGTTTGCGCCGGCTCACAGAATGGCTGCTGCCTTCCTGCTTGTCCGTGGTCCATCCTCGCGCCTCTGTCTAAACCACAACACTTCGCTGATCTCGTCAAGAAGCGTAAACCATCGTCACGCGAACTCCGCTCATCCTCGCAGCAGCAGCAGCCGCTTTTGGCTGAACCATCGAACAAAAACGGCCACCGCGTCGTCGCTCGGCGCTTTCAGATGCGCTTCTGCGGCCGTCTGGAACGCTCTTCCGTCCGATATTAGGAAGCCACTGGAGCTATGCGCTTTTAAATCATCATCCAGATTGACATTTCTTTAGAACTGCTTTTTGTGATTAGTTTGCTGTCATTCCCCCGCACCTCCGGTTAGCATAGTTGGCTACGTACGGTGCGAAAAAAAATCCACGTACACGCAATAGTGAGCGAACACTGCGTCGGCGCTTTACACACTGTGTGTAAGATATATACATAGTGTGATGATGCACAGTGTGCGTGTGTGTCTACATGTGTGTTTAGGAGCGGTGGCGCAGCGGTTAGCGCACCGCGCTCCCAATCCGGTGACTCGCGCTTGAATTCCCACCAAGGGCGAATGTCAGTTTGGCGAGTCATATCTGAACCGGCTCCTGGGCCTCCCCTAGGTCGACTCAACCTCAAATGAGTACCTGGTGCGGTGTGTAGTAAACATCGCTAGCACTGGGGGAGACAAAGGCGGCCGGGCGTGGTGCTGGCCACCCACCCCCTCGTGTGCCGTGCCGGTCATCAAAGGTGCTCGCTAACAGGACTACAGCAGCACTTACCACAATAGTTTATTCAGGCTACACGGGGGATCTTTGTTTTTGTGTGTGTGTGTAGTATTACATGGTGTGTGTCCTTGGAAAGGACATACGGATAGGAAACTGTGCACAGTAAATTGTCAGCAAATTAAACGCGTCACGGGATCCCAGGCGGGCGTGACGCTGACTAATTGTGTGTTCGTCTGCACGCGTGTGTGTGTCTGTCTGTATGCATTAGAGTGTGTGTATGTGTCTGTCTGTATGTATGAGAGTGTGTGTATGTGTAATCCGTGTGTGTGTCTGTCTGTATGTATGAGAGTGTGTGTATGTGTAGTCAGTGTGTGTGTGTGTGTCTGTCTGTATGTATGAGAGTGTGTGTATGTGTAGTCAGTGTGTGTGTGTCTGTCTGTATGTATGAGAGTGTGTGTGGGGAGCGATAGTGTAGCGGTTAGCGCGCTGCGCTATGAACCTGACGACCCGGGTTCGATTCCCACTCACGGCCAACACCAGTGACGATTATCTGAACCGGTCCTGGGCCTCCCCTAGGTCGACTCAGCCAGTACCTGGTGCGGTGTGTAAACATCGCCACTGGGGAGACAAAGGCGACCGGGCGTGGTGTTGGCCACCCACCCCCTCGTGTACTGTTCCGGCCTTCATTGGTGCTCGATAACAGCACTTGCCCCTACAGCCTGTTAAGACTATATGGGATATATATATTATTGGCTCTTTCGGTAAAGTCAATAACATAATAAAATTCTCACGACGTTTCGACTGCAACACAAGCAATCATCATCAGGTTAGCACCACGGAGAGCGATTTGACAGTTTGTTCGGAAAAGAGGATGGGGGAGACGAAAATAATGGATGCGGTCTGAAAGCCACCATAAGCGTGAACAATCAAACCTGTCGGGACGACAGCGCTACAATTCATTGTTTGTTCCTTTCACCTGAAGAAGGCCACTTGTGTTGTGGCCGAAACGTCGTGAAAATTTTATTGTTTTATTTTATTATTTTATTCTCATTCTATGTGACTTTACCGAAAGAACCAAAGAAGATAGATGGACTCGTCCATCTGAACAAACTGTCAAATCGCTCTCCGTGGTGCTAACGTTAAAAATATCCGCCACTTTTTTCAAAATTCTTGCTGTGGTTTTCACACCTGATGATGATTGCTTGTGTTGCAGTCGAAACGTCGTGATAATTTTATTGTTGAATATTTTTATTATTTTATTGTTTCCCTTCTACGTGACTATACCGAAAGAACCAAGAATATGAATCCCTGCAGCCACGAAAGCTTTAAATCAAAATTTATATGGGAGATCTTTATCTTTGTACGTATGAGAGTGTGGGGAGCGGTGGTGTAGCGGTTAGCGCGATGCGCTGACGGGCCAAGACCAGTGGCGAGTATCTGAACCGGTCCTGAGCCTTCCCTAGATCGACTCAGCCTTACAACGAGTGCCAAGTGCGGTGTGTAACGCAACACCAATGGGGAGACAAAGGCGACTGGGCGTGGTGCTGACCACTCATACGCCTTTTGCCGGCCTTCATAGGCGCTCACTAACAGCGTTCACCCCAACAGTCTGTTAAAGGCAATACAGTACAGGGCATCTGTGTCTTTCCCTCTGTACGAGTGTGTCGATGTATACGTGAGTAGCTGCATGCACGAGTGTGTCTGTCCGTGTGTAAGTGTGCACGCGGGCGCAAGAGTCTTACTTGCCAGTGTCTCATGAGCAACTAAAAATATCACCCGATAAGTTTTCTTCCTAAGCCTCAGCCTCACACCTCCCCTCCCTCTCATCACATTCCCACCCCCCTCTCTCCCTCGCTCTCCATTGCTGCTCCCTTCATCTCAATCCCTGCCCTCTCTCCCCCCCATCATCCCTCCCTCCTCGCTCTCCCCTCTCTCCTCCTCTCCATCGCTCTCCGTCACCCTATTCTCTCCGATGTCTCTTATCACATACCTCCCCTCTCTCGTTTCCCCCTCTATCCATCCCCACACCGAACTGCCCCCCCCCCTCTCACTCACTCCCGAATCTCTCCTCACTCTATCCCCCTTCTCTCTCCTCACTCAGGAGAACGTTGGTGTCTGTGTTTGTTACTTCGGTTTGGTCATCACCTCACACCCCATCCTCACCCCACCCCCCCCCCCCCCCCCCGGGGGACCTATTTAGCTTGCGCGGTCTCCACTCTGCCTGTCCCGCTCGCCCGCAGGCTCGGGGTGAGCCTCAGGGCTAGGACCGGGGGTGAGGCTCAGGGCTAGGATAGGGGGTGAGGCTCAGGGCTAGGATAGGGGGTGAGGCTCAGGGCTAGGATAGGGGGTGAGGCTCAGCGCTAGGCTAGGGGGTGAGGCTCAGGGCTAGGATAGGGGGTGAGGCTCAGGGCTAGGCTAGGGGGTGAGGCTCAGGGCTAGGCTAGGGGGTGAGGCTCAGGGCTAGGCTAGGGGGTGAGGCTCAGGGCTAGGATAGGGGGTGAGGCTCAGGGCTAGGCTAGGGGGTGAGGCTCAGGGCTAGGCTAGGGGGTGAGGCTCAGGGCTAGGATAGGGGGTGAGGCTCAGGGCTAGGATAGGGGGTGAGGCTCAGGGCTAGGATAGGGGGTGAGGCTCAGCGCTAGGATAGGGGGTGAGGCTCAGCGCTGGGTTTGCAGCAGTCCCAAACGCAGCTCCCCGCGTTCCGTTGCCGGGCGCCACGTGGCCTCTTGCCTTGACTGTCGGCCGTGGGAGGCCGACAGTCAGTCACTTCACTTGCATCATTTGACTTCATCTACCGCCCCCCCCCCTGTTTACGCTGAGTGCCCCCCGCGTGTTTCTCCAGGTGCCAAAGAATGACACCCTGCCCATCGGGCTAAAATACCATCCCAACGTGGTGCCTGTGGCCTGCAACTTCAAGGTATGGGCACACACACCACACACATCACATACACCATACACACCATACACACACCACACACATAACATACACCACACACACCACACACATAACATACACCACACACATCACATACACCATACACACCATACACACACCACACACATCACATACACCATACACACCATACACACACCACACACATCACATACACCATACACCCCATACACACACCACACACATCACATACACCATACACACCATACACACCCCACACACATCACATACACCATACACACCATACACACACCACACACATCACATACACCATACACACCATACACACACCACACACATCACATACACCATACACACCATACACATCACATACACCATACACACACCACACACATCACATACACCATACACACCATACACACACCACACACATCACATATACCATACACACCATACACACACCACACACATCACATACACCATGCACACCATACACACCATACACACCATACACACCATACACACCATACACATAACATACACCATACACACCATACACACACCACACACATCACATACACCATACACACCATACACACACCACACACATCACATACACCATACACACCATACACACCACACACATCACATACACCACACACACCACACACATCACATACACCACACACATCACATACACCACACACACCACATATACCATACACACCATACACACCACACACATCACATACACCACACACGCCACACACATCACATACACCATGCACACCATACACACCATACACATCACATACACCATACACATCACATACACCATACACACCACACACATCACATACACCATACACACGATACACACACCATACACATCACACACCATACACTAAACACTCCACTGGCCCACCACCACGCTCACAGATGTCACAAATAGAGAAGTCGACGCAAGAGTGCTGTGACCTCTTGACCTCTCACCGCCGCCACCTGAACGGCTCTACCACCACCTCTAAAGACAAAGATCCGCCGTATAGCCCTTAACAGGCTGTTGGGGCAAGTGTTGTTAGCGAGCACCTATGAAGGCTGGCACGGCACACGAGGGGGTGGGTGGCCAACACCACGCCCGGCCGCCTTTGCCTCCCCCAGCGGCGATGTTTACACACCGCACCAGGTACTCATTTGAGGCCGAGTCTACCTCGGGGAGGCCCAGCACCGGTTCAGATAATCGTCACCGGTGTTGGTGACCGTGAGCGGGAATGGAACCCGGGTTCGCCACCACCACGGCCGTCGTGATCCCCGTCCCTGCCGTGTGTCCTTCCCCGCGCAGCGCGAGGAGGACAAGGGCAGGATCAGCGCGATCCGCTACTTCGGCGCGGGTGGCTACGCGGGCTTCCCGATGCACTACTACCCCTTCCTGGGCAGCGCGCGGCACGCGGGCTACGTGAACCCCCTGGTGGCCGTGCAGCTCATGAACGTGACGCGCGACGTGGAGGTGCGGCTCGAGTGCCGCATCTACGCCAAGAACGTGCCCTTGTCGGCACGCGACCGCCTCGTGGGCCGCGTCGACCTCAAGGTGCTGGTGCGCAGTTAGCGGCCTACCCGCGACCCTCGCCTCCAACTCCACGACCACAGCCTCGCGCGTGGACCCACGCACCGCCCCGCACCGCCCCGCACCGCATCGCACCGACACGCGCGCGCACGCCCAGGTACGACCTTGTGCCTGCACGCGCGTGTACGCACCTACACCTACACAGGTGCGAACGCCCGTACTCACCTGCGTAGCTTTGCAATGCGGTGCAGAGCACTCACCGGTACAGCTTGCACACACCTGCACCCACACGCACCTGTACAGGGCACACATCTGCACTTGCCCGTATAGGGCTGTACACCTGCATGCACACCTGCATAGGACACTTGCCTATCTATACCTCCACAGACATCTTATCTGTCATGCGTATAGGGTGCACGTGTACAGGTCACACACACACGCACACACCTGTATAGGGTACAGAGTTGTAGCCGCACACACCTGTACAGGAGACTCACCTGTACACGCACGCACCTGTACACATTTATACGCACACGGATATCGGGCGCTCACCTGTACCTGCACACGCTCATGTGCAGGGCACACACCTATACGGACCGTATAAGGTATGCACTTGTACCTACATACATACATACACAACTGCACACACCTGTCAAGGGCACAAACCTTTACACACACACACAATTGCACACACCTGTACTGGGGGACTCACACCTGCACACATTCTTAGCGACACGCGCCTGTACACAATTACACAGGTGGTGCAAACACGTATACCTACATGTATAGGGTGCCCACCCGTACACCGCACGCACCTGTACAGTGCTCTGTGGGTTACCAGGCAAGTGTGAACTCCTAGACCAGATCCATCTCCTCTTTGCATTGGCAGAAGGGGTTGAGGAAGAAGCCAACTTTGGCTACAGAGGCATTTAGCAGCCTCTTACCATTATTGTTGAGCTGATCTGGCCCATGCCTTCCAATAACTCCTGCCCAGGTGCTTGCGTCATGACCCACTCAGGTATTAAAGTGACGATCAAATTCTTGCTAGAAAAAAAACCTCCCACGGCAGCTGGCTGAGACCAAGCTTTAAGCGTTCGAATGGGGTCTCAGGTGGAAGTGCACCACCACCACCAGCAGCACAGTGGAAGAAGGCAGGCGCATCCTACAGACAATCTGGTGGTCAATGGACAGATCAGCTCCGCGGTAGACCATGGTGTCAAGGGTACGTGGGCTCACAGCTCACATTCACTGTTCCGCCGCTGTGTAGTCCAGCAGATGTTCTTGCTTGGGTATGGAAAGCACCCGAGGTGTTGTGTGGAAGAGCGGATGACGAATCAGCGTGCTGGTCATTAAAAGCCCATTTCCATGCACAGAAATCTAGCAGCTGTCCCTCCCCCCACCATGATTGTTGAGACGATCAGAACCCCACTGACTGCGACTTACTCCGACCCAGGTGCTAACTCAGTGGCCCACCTGAGCATTTAAAAGTCACCCAAATCCGAGAGGGGCCACTTTAGCGGACACCTGGGAGAAGAGGTCATAAGGGGAATCTGACTCATCAGCCTTGCTTTTGTCAATCTACCAATGGTCGTCTTCAGTTGGGGCAGAGGACAACCACCACCGCCACCGTCCCATGCCTCCTGTGGATGGAAATCGTGAGCGGCTTCTCACCGCCACGCTCCCACAGCCCCCCACCCCATTGAATTCTTTATTCAGAAGAGCGACTCCCCATAATCCGATGTTATCCTGCCCCGAGTCGAGGACTGTCCATCTCTCATAGTGACTTGGGAGTCAGAAACCGTCCACCACTCCACCGGACCTTCTGCATTCGAGAGGTGCAAGTGGTACACCGGACAAGACGAGCGTCAGCCTCTCGTCACGTTCAGTCACTCCACGTGACCAGCCGCAGTGATTGTCGATCGCTTCTGGACGCTCTCCGCCAAACATTGCCCGGTGGCCAAGAGGCATTGGAGACGCCTCCTGTCCCCCATTCGGGGCCTCTTGCTTGCTTAGTCAGCCACTGCATTGGGTGTGAGCACGCCGTGAGGGTGATCATCGGCTGACTGACGAGAGACGTTCCCCCACAATGATTTTACTCGCAAAACACCACAAAGCTCCAATCTGGCACCGCAGGCAGTCGGGGAGGACGGTTTGCCAGACGCACACCGATCACAAATGAATCCTTTCCCCCGTATAGCCCACATAGGCTGCTTGGGCAAGTGCTGTGAGCGAGCACCAATGCAGCCCAGAGTGCAGACACACAAAACAGCACCACCACCTAACGACAACAAACAGCCGCCATTCGCCACTAAGTGGTGGTGAACCTCACCATGGCGCTTGTGCCAGGCTAGGTGCACCCCCCCCCCACTCACGTACCCAGCTGTGTAAAGTGTTCGTGTCGTGCCGTGTGTGTAACTGTGTCCTCGTGTTTCGTGTCTTTGAAAATCGACATCTTAAACAACAAAAAACGATAAATTATATTACTCGAATGATGTACAAGATTTTAGAATGAATAGCAGAAGAATATATATGAATATACTATATTACATAGAATTATATAATTAGCATATATTTAATAGGATATAGAATACATTTTATTATAATTTGACGTCTACAACTAAGTTGATGATGTCACGAACATGACTTCGTTGCTAGCGGCTCGTGTCGAGCGATGACGTCACATGTCGTGTACTATAACGTTACAAATCATTGGCGATTCCGTCACATGCGCACTAACGTCACCGCTCTGTATGTGCTGTGCGATGACATCATGGCGCAATGACGTCGTCAAACAGCACAATGACGTCACCGCAATCCAGCGATGGCGTCACAGGTTAATACATTTCGCGCGAGGAAGACGTCAGTCTCCTTTTCAGCACAAACGGCGCAGTGACGTCAGCGAGGCGTGCTGGCATTGTGACGTCATCGCGCCCGCCAGCACAATTGACGTGGCTGCGCGCGGCTCCCTCTCCCGTCCACTGACGTCATCGCGTCATACGCGGGGACGTCACAGCCCTAAATGTCAGCACAAATTACGTCATCGTGTGGCGACACTGAGCCGCCGCCGGGGTTAAAACTCCGGCATTGGGGGGTGGTCAGTAAAGCGAATTAATGAAGTACTCGCCCGTGTGATTGGTTGCCTGGGTTCGTGTTTTACTCATTCCGTGTCACTTGAAGCTTCATATTCCGTGTTAAGCGACCGCTAATTGCGCGCCTCTCAAGCCACGTGGCCTCCCCCACCCACCCGCCACGTGGCGATGTTGAGGCCACGTGGCCCCCTGGCGACACTGGGCACGCGACTGCAGCTGTGGCAGGTGACGTCACGACGTCATGCGGTAGGACAGCGACAAGGCATTGAAACAAAAAAACGTCGAACACATTCGTCAAATAACCAGTGTGTGTGTGGGCTTCAAAAATATAATAGGCGACGTTTTGGGCAATGCCCCTTCACATCACACGGATCAAATTTGTTAATTGTGCTTGTGCATCACTGCCAAAGTAGCAGCTACTACTGCATATGTAGTAGTAGCTAGTACTACATATGTAGTAGCTACTACATATGTAGTACATATGTAGTAGCTACTATGTAGTAGTAGTAGCTGTAGTAGTAGCTGTAGCTACTAGCTGTAGCTACTACTACTACATATGTAATCGATCCAGCAAAGTTTCGTAGCTGTAAATACTACTACTATATGTAGTAGCTACTACTACTACATCTACTACTACTAGCTGTAGTCGTAGCTACAGCTACTACTACTACAGCTACTACTAGCTGTAGTAGTAATAGCTGTAGCTAGTAGTAGCTGTAGTAGTAGCTACTACTACTACAGCTACTACTAGCTGTAGTAGTAGTAGCTGTAGTCGTAGCTACAGCTACTACTACTAGCTGTAGTAGTAGCTACAGCTACTGCTACTACTACTAGCTGTAGTCGTAGCTACAGCTACTACTACAGCTACTAGTAGCTGTAGCTGCTACTACTACATGTCGCTTCTTTTGCTACTCGGATAATCTGGCACTCGGTCCAAATTCGAAACTAAATTTACGCGGTACAATACGGAACTTTGCTGGATGGATTTCAAGCGGCGATTCCATTCATTTGATTCCCATTTCGTGCTCACATTGTGAGTGGAGTGGGTGGGGTCATCACCCTGTACTGCCCTGTTCTACTTATTAGGCACAGAGTAAATCAGCCAGAATAAGAATGTTTATTTTAGACTGGCGCAATCCGATGAGCCACTGGCCATGCAATAAAATCAGAAACGTGATTAGATCGATGAATAGATTTCTGTTAACTTTTTCAAGGAATCGCTATATTATTAAACATTCGGCAGGTAGCGACTCAAGTAACGATTCTCACGTCCCAATTAAGACCCATTGCATCCCCATTGTCTCGGAACACGAATTAACTATCCAACGAGTGTAATTATCCCTTCGTGCTGAGCTTCTACTGACGAGCGAGGCTTCCGAGAGAGCGATAACACGATGGCGGTTAAACGCGCCAATATGGCAACTGGGTGACGTCACGAGCCCCCTATACTCAAGTGGATTCCGTTTAGGATCACGTGCTGCATGCAGCCGGCTGCATTGGGACGCCCAGTGTCCCAGGCCCCCTCCCTGCCTCCTTCCCCCCCACCCACCCAAGCCCCCTCCCTCCCCTCGCGCCACCTCGTGAAGTGAGCCAACGACGCCGCGCGCAGTCGGTCCGGGGCAGTGACGACGCCACTCCCCCTGTTGGCGCGCGACGACGCCGCCTCCGATTGCTTATTGTGACGTCACAAAGGGGAGTCGGAGGGTGGGGTGGGACCCGTCGTCCGTTTCTCTCCGCCGCGTGCGTGCGTGCGTCCGACCCCGCTTTAAAGCTGCCGCGTTCAAGTGTCGATGTGACGGGCGAGCCGCGCGCGTCCGCCCGTTCTGTTTGCGTGCCGAGTGACTCGACCCCCGCCGCGCCGTCGGTCGCCCCTCGATGACTCCCGCGCGTGCCGATGGGTTCCGGTCGGTCGAATTGCGTGCCGTGGATGCTCGACCGTGTGTGTGTGTGTGCCGATTGATCGATTCGCGTGCCTTGCCGTGCCGTCTGTCGCTCGTGTCGTCTGTGTCTGTGCGAGACCCGCTCCATCCTCATGAAGCAATAAAAATGTGGAGAACACAGCACAGGGCGTCTCCCGCGTGTTTCTTTACCAAGCGTCTGTTGGCTCACGATGACTCTTCAGTAAAGATGACCCAGGGTGAGATCTCGTCTTGCGTATGGAAGCAAGGAGAGTAATACGTATGTCAGATGGATGGCTGACACATATATCACAACAAAGACAAAAACGCCCCGAAAAGCCTTAACAGACTGTTGGGGCAAATGCTGTTCGCGAGCACCTATGAAGGCCGACATAGGTGCTCACAAACAGCACTTGCCCCAACAGCCTGTTCAGGCTACACGGGGGATCTGTCTTTGTTTGTGATTGTGTGAGAGTGATTTTGTGATTATATATGAGTGCGAGTGTGTGTGTGTGAGCGTAATTATGTATGATTATGCGCGATTGTATGATTGTGTGTGTGTGATTATATGTGATTGTGTGTATTATTGTGTGTGTGGGGGTGATTGCGTGTGTTATGAGTGGAGTTTGTGTGCTCTCATCCTATTTGGTAGACCTGTGTGTGAGCAAGAGAGTTTGATTTAATGCGAGTGTGGAGTCTGTGCGTTCTCTCCCCCTGTTCTGCGTGGTTCTCCGGTTTCCTCCTCCCATAGCGGACCCCATACCCACAGTGTAACTGGTAGTGGTCAAACCACAGCTACACCTACAGCCACAGTGGAACTGGTAGTGGTCAAACCACAGCTAAACCTACAGCCACAGTGGAACTGGAAGTGGTAAAACCACAGCTACACCTACAGCCACAGTGTAACTGGTAGTGGTCAAACCACAGCTAAACCTACAGCCACAGTGGAACTGGTAGTGGTCAAACCACAGCTAAACCTACAGCTACAGTGGAACTGGTAGTGGTCAAACCACTTCTACACCTACAGCCACAGTGGAACTGGTAGTGGTCAAACCACAGCTACACCTACAGCCACAGTGTAACTGGTAGTGGTCAAACCACAGCTACACCTACAGCCACAGTGGAACTGGTAGTGGTCAAACCACAGCTACACCTACAGCCACAGTGGAACTGGTAGTGGTCAAACCACAGCTACACCTACAGCCACAGTGTAACTGGTAGTGGTCAAACCACAGCTACACCTACAGCCACAGTGTAACTGGTAGTGGTCAAACCACAGCTAAACCTACAGCCACAGTGTAACTGGTAGTGGTCAAACCACAGCTACACCTACAGCCACAGTGGAACTGGTAGTGGTCAAACCACAGCTAAACCTACAGCCACAGTGTAACTGGTAGTGGTCAAACCACAGCTACACCTACAGCTACAGTGGAACTGGTAGTGGTCAAACCACAGCTAAACCTACAGCCACAGTGGAACTGGTAGTGGTCAAACCACAGCTAAAACTACAGCCACAGTGGAACTGGAAGTGGAAAAATCGCATGGGATGCCGAGACATCATCGCCTGAAATGGACTCATTTGGGATAGCGCAACGAAGTGGAATATTTTTCTATTTAAAGCTTTCGTGACTGCAGGGATTCATATTCTTGGTTCTTTCGGTAAAGTCACGTAGAAGGGAAATAATAAAATAATACAAATAAAACTATTAAATTCTCACCAAAAATATGAAGTGGAATATCATGCGGAAATTCATAGCAGCCAAATACTCTAAGCGCACGTTTATTATAAATGTGGAGGGAGAAATCGGAGGGGCCGGAGAAAAATCCACGTGACCACGGGGAGAGAGAAAACACGAAAACTTCAAATACACAGCAGCAGGCATCGTCAGGGTCGGAATCGAACCCACAACCTCCTGCGTACCAGGCGAGGTAGTTAACATCTCCTAGCCACCGCGGGACCCACACACACACACATAGCAGCAGCAACGACGTCTCCGAGTGCCAAAACTCTTTGAGGCTCTGTGAGCCTTTCGCGGGTAAACGAGCACAAGTAACTAATAATACGTTAATAGATCGTACATTAATTCTAATAAATACATAGCGCTCAAACCCAAGCCTCGCGCCCACGGACTCAATCATCGATCACCGCGGGTTCGGGTCGGGGCGAGGAGTGTTTGAATGTCTCACAATCGACAACGCTTCCCCCACCGAAGCGAATTGCTCTCCTTTCGAGTTAAACAACCGTCAACGCTGTACCTGACCTTTTAATTCATCCGGATCATCGAAGTAATCGTTATCCTCCTCGTTAGTTGAGTTCTTATTATTTGCATTTGATTATTATTCGTATTATTGCGTTCTCGGGACAAAGTCCGCCGCGCCGATAAGGAAAAGTATGAACGGTTTTCGTGATTTGTTTATTGAAGAGCGCGTCGGCAGACTTTCGACTCGTTCACTGGGGCCGAGTGGGACGGCGAGGAGGTCACGCGTGTCTCTGTGTCTTTGTGTGTCCCCCCCGAGTGTCTCTGTGTGTCTCTGTGTGTCTCTGTGTCTTTGTGTGTCCCCCCCGAGTGTCTCTGTGTCTCTGTGTGTCTCTGTGTGTCCCCACCCGAGTGTCTCTGTGTGTCTCTGTGTCTTTGTGTGTCCCCCCCGAGTGTCTCTGTGTCCCTCGCGTGTCTCTGTGTGTCTCTGTGTGTCTCTGTGTGTCCCCCCCGAGTGTCTCTGTGTGTCTCTGTGTGTCCCTGTGTCTTTGTGTGTCCCCCCCGAGTGTCTCTGTGTCCCTCGCGTGTCTCTGTGTGTCTCTGTGTGTCCCCCCCGAGTGTCTCTGTGTGTCTCTGTGTGTCCCTGTGTCTTTGTGTGTCCCCCCCGAGTGTCTCTGTGTCCCTCGCGTGTCTCTGTGTCTCTGTGTGTCCCCCCCGAGTGTCTCTGTGTCCCTCGCGTGTCTCTGTGTCTTTGTGTGTCCCCCCCGAGTGTCTCTGTGTCCCTCGCGTGTCTCTGTGTGTCCCTCGCGAGTGTCTCTGTGTCCCTCGCGTGTCTCTGTGTCTCTGTGTGTCCCCCCCGAGTGTCTCTGTGTCCCTCGCGTGTCTCTGTGTCTTTGTGTGTCCCCCCCGAGTGTCTCTGTGTC